TTCTGAGGCCATCCACATAAGGAGCAGCTGCACCTGGCTGGATGCTCGTCACCTGCTGAGATGGCCAGGTACTGCCCACAGGAGAGACCCATGCACCTCGGCCTGGTGCCTCACCGTGGCTGTGTTCCCTGCTCAGAACACGTCCTGCCCTCTTACCAGCACTGCATGACACTCTTCCCTGGGCGAGAGCACACACCGATAGTCGGACCCTAATGGCCAACACATACGTTCTGCCACAGGGGGACAAGCAGGTCCTTTTCCTCTGTGAAACACAGAATCTACCAGTTAATTCCAGTAACCATTTTGTGACAACTGGGTAACAGTGCTGTTCATTAAAGGTACACACCATGGCATAAAACCGAGCTAGCTCTGAATTTTTATTTACTCCTTGAACTAACTCCCGCCATCCTCAGATCCTCATCCTCAGGGGGATTTAGGGAATTATTGTGAGAATCAAGCAAAATAATGATTCACAGGAAAGCCTCCTGCAGGCCCCTGCAGTGTGAACTTGATTCCCTGAGCCTCAGATCAACTGTGGATTTTGGCTTTTTTTAAACACCAAATATTTTAAGAAGACAGTGCTCCATTTTAAAAAGAAAGTTCCAGATTCCATTCCCAGCTCTGTCAAAGAGAATGAAAACAAGTAAATGTGTGTGTGCACATGGGTGCTAGGCCTGTGGTTGAGGGAAGGGAGAAGAGAAAGAATCACAGAGTGGGACTGTGAGCTGGCTGTGATGCACACTGTAATCCCGGTACTCTGGGGAGGCTGAGGCAGGAGAACCATGAATTCCAGGGCAACCTGGGCTACATAAGGAGGCCCAGACTCAAGGAAAACCAAATGGGACTATATTTTAAAATGTCTACTACTTGGCCAAATAAATAGGCATTCCAAGCAATTTTTAAACACTGTTAATCTCCAGGTCACAGCTCTATCGCTTACATGTACTCGAAAGCAGAAAAGCAGAGCTGGCGAGCCTGCTGCTGTCACAGGGCCCGGCAAGAGGCGGCCGTCTTCCCGCTCAGTGAGAACAGTTGGCAGGGCGCAGGAGCAGGGCTGGGGCGAGGCTGCCTGGAACTGAGAGTGTTAGCTTTTCCTGACCTGCTTTCCACACTGTGAGCTTTTGGCTTTCCTTTATGTTACTGAGTATTGGTTTATTAGGCTGTGGGCTTGCAGGGTATGGGGAGACAGCTTGCAGGGGCAGATCTGATCCAGAAAAGTGAGAAGTACTGGGTCAGGTTAGACCCAATTAGCTGGTGACAAGCCCAGCGAGTGGAATGGAGCCACACTCCACACCTTCTTGCCTCCCGTCCTCCTGCCCACCTGGGCAGGAGCTGCTTCTCCAAACATGACCTTCAGACTCATCAGTCCCTGGGATGATGATCAGGGCTCAAGAACAACCTGGCAGAGCTCTCTGGGAAAAGCTGCAGCTGTGCGCCGTCCCACAGGGCAAAGCGGTGGAAGCAGAGGTGTGGGCGTTGGTTTTGCTTCCTTCCTGGACAGTTGAGTTTCCCCGTAACAGGAAGCTGTGCGTTTCCCCACTCTCTGCTCTTTGACTCCACTGTTGGTGGAGGTACAACGGACGGCATCCTCACTCACATTGCTCAGAGGGGAGACCTGAAGAGTGAGGTCAGCTCTAAGTCCACTTCCAAGTGTGACTGTGGCAGCTGAGACGGACGCGTGAAGCCTGTGCTTCTGGACGACTGTGTCTTGCAGCGACCGCATAACCATGTGCTACATCAAATGTACATCCCAGTGTAAGCTCAGGGAACATTTTCACAATGATTTGGAAATTGCTGGGAAGGTAAAGTGAGATGACACCCATTGTCTGATGTTCTAGGACGCAAACCTTTTTCTATGCACAGCTGCGGTGCTGCATCATTCACCCCTCCTCTTACATCAGTGAGCGATAGGAAATCCTTTAAGGTCTCCAGCCTGTCCCCTTCCACCGAAGTCATTTTTAACCCCCTTGAACTGGGCCTAACTTGCTTCTCAAGACTCCCAGCACAACGGCTGCCTGGAGGGCTCTCACCGAGTTGAAGTCTTGATTTCCTAGCCATTCATGCCACTGCTCCTGCAGCCAGACCTGGCTTCCTCCAGCCCAGGGCAGTACCAGGTCCTTGTCTGCAGCCTGGGTACCAACATGGGATCTGGCACGTGGCAGGGTGTGGGAGGTGTTAGGTTTCGTGTATGAGTGAGAACCCCAGGCAGGAGCCTGTGTGTATTACCGCTTATTCATTCTGCAGGACCCCTATCTGATCATTTCCCTGCTCTCACCATCAGAGGAGAGGACAGAGAGCAGTAATGGCCACACTCTGCATGATACCCTGCTGACAGGACGTGAGTCTGTTTGGTTCCAGCCCTTTGTCACGGGCAGTCAGAAGACTGGGGAGGGCAGTGTGCCGCCGAAGTCCGAAGCCTTCTTGAGAGCCCTGTCTGAGCTGGAGCTACTTCACACAGCCACAGCAGAGAACTAAACGTCTGTTTGCACAACCAAATGTGTATTTCACATCTTGCTGGGAAGCGTGAACCCATGTGGACATAGGAATTAGAATATTAGTAATCGTTTTCCTGTTCTTTTCAGCCTACTTGGTCTGTTCTCTCCGCGTGCACGTATGTGTGGCACATGTTAATTTATTTCGTGCTGGTATGTTTGCAGCATTCTTCTCTATGGCATACGTGCAGTGAGGTTTTCACTTGTCCATGGCTCTTCTCTCCTGAACTTCCTGTGTCTTTGGACACCTGCATCATTTTGTTGGTGCTAAACATTTTCACACTGTGCTTTTACTGAGCTCCTTTGATTGAAGCCTTGTGTCACAATGGGCTCTGGGACTGTCCCTCACCAGCTGTGTTTGTGACTTTGTTGCCCTTCATTTAACCAACGATACAGTGGGAATCACAGAAGAGCTGGTTCATAGATACACCTAGTCAGTGTTCAAACACATAGGAAGCGCTCAATAAAATGTTAGCTGCAGCGGTACCACGCGCTTCCTTCACGCCCTGGTTTCTGATGCCGTGGTCAACATGGTTTTAGTGAGCAGATAGAGCTGAGTAGGTCCTGGGGTCATGGTGGTGCTTACATCCTGCTCTATACGGGCTGACTTCGTGGAAGGGACCAGGCCCACTTTCACAGCCCTGTACGGCTTACTCCATCCCTCCTGCCAAGACAACACAGCTGCAAGTCCATCTTCGGCACTGCTGACATCCGGGGTCCACCTCATTTTTGCGCGTGGTTTGCTACCCAAACAAACTCGGAGGGAGAGTGACACCAGAGATCTCTGAAAACTTCTTAGGATTCTAGAATTTTCTCTTTGTCTTTCATGTCTTCCTTCCGAAAGACTTTACTAAATGGAGATTAATTTTATCTAAATTGATGCTTACATACTGGTTTTTGAAATCTGATAACTTATTTTTGTAAAAATAGGCCAGGCTTTGCTTGATACTTACGTTACTTCAGAAGCATGGCAAATGTTTGACAAAATTTGCAAATAATGCTAAACTGATGAGACCCTGAGTTTCCATTTTCAAGCCTGAGATCTTTCTGTCCTATCCAGGGCTGGGCTCCTCCAATCACTGCTCCATTCAAATACTTAGCAAGTCTGTGTAGGAGTTACTCACTTCTTGTGGTATTTGCATGACAAATGCTGCTGTCTTTTTAAATTACACAGACATAGGATATAATTTACTGAAACCCACTTGAACCTATTCCCCCTTTCCTACCTTCCTTCTATATTCCCCGAAGGACATTACTGGGTAGCTTGGTTGTTTTTTCCATCAGACCCTTAGGGATCTTTTTGAATTATTGGTTATGATGGGAGAAATCACCATTAGAATCAGGTCCCATAACTCTCTCTGTGTCCCTTGATGCTAGGTCCTTTTTATATCTCGGCAGCACCAAGCATAGCACCCTGCGTGAAGTAGGACTCAGGTAACATGCCTGTAGTACGGCTCTGTGTTTGTGGCATACTCTGTCCAAATGTGTTCACAGATACACGGCACATCTAATTATCAATCAGTTTCTGTTTAATTGGATTCATCAAAATAACGACATGAATTCATTCTGATCGGCCAAAATCTGGATGTCATATCTGCTGGGCAAGTGGAAGAAGTGGATGCCTTGGTGTCTTTTCCCATCAGGAGCTCTGGGTCCACTCTTCTTACATTAGGGTATTTGGGTCTCAGAATTCACTGTTGTATCCTGGATCTGCGATCCTTGGAATCACTGACTGACCTCAGAGGTGCTGTTCTAGTGGACCAAGATGGCAGGAGAGGAGAAACTGGAGGGAGTGAGGAGAGAGGAGATGGACTCTGGTCTCAATTGGTAGGGTTGATGGGCGTATTATTTTGGAAGTTCAAACTCCCTGCTCCCTGTGTGAAGTCCTGGACTGTCTTTGTGTGTGTGTGTGCAGTTCTGGGAATTGAACCCAGGGCCTTGCCCATGCTAGGCAGGTGCTTTACCACTGAGCCACACTTAGCAATTCCTCAGCCCTTCCTGGTTTGATTTGAAGGCTGTGCCAACTCAGTGAATATTACAAGACGTTCTTAGGCTGCCTGGCCAGGAGGAGGTAAAGGCCGGGGAAAGTCTTATTCCAACAAAGTGTCCTGCCAGATGGCAGCCTGCAGCCACATTGGGAAACAGGAGGCTGCTGGGCCTCTCAGGGAAAGTGGCCCTTAGATGCTGAGAGAACCAGGTATCATTTAGCATTCAATTGCTTAACAAAAGCACTAGTTTGATAGGCTCTGGACCATTTCTAAACATAAGAACACACCTTTTTTTCCAGGGAGGCACAGTGGCATTGCTTTCCCTTCCCAACTGGAGCCTCAGAACCCTTCTCAACTCTTGATTCCAGGCAACCATGCAGAAGGATCTGAGAGTTTCCCAAACATAGGGTGTCATTAGAAACTTGACCACAATTCTTTACTTTTGGCTTTGAGCTCAACAGTTCTGGGTTTTGTTCAGTTTCGGCTATGACTGTGTTCACACTGGATTTTTGTCTTGCAGAAGCAAGTGTGAAGGAAAACACAGCAAAGTACATGGAAGAGCTTGAGGCCAGGCTGAGCAGGTAAGAGGACCTGCATCCAGAATCCATGTGTGTCGGATGCTTTAGTGTTCTAGAATTCACCTAACGCAATGGGAATGGCCAGCCTGTTTCTGTAATAAGCTAACAAAGAAAATCCCATGGGAAGGTGCAGGTGCCATGCACATCCAGCGGTCCTGGCTTCTTTTGAAAAGCAAATAGATTAAGAGTATCTTGGGGAGAGGATGGAAGAATTTTCATGTCCCAGAATAAGGAGAAGTACCTTGGGGTACTGAATTCCAAATTACTGCCTTGGTCTGTTTTTCCTTTTTTTTTCAGCATCTGAAGGGGTCTTAAGTGTTGTGAGCCAGTTTATACACGGTTTGGAAGAACATAGAAATGCACATTTTAGGTTCTGTTTTCAATTCTGAACCAAAACCAGTGTGAAAATTCCTGCTTGCTTTTTTTTTTTTTTTTAAATCCAATTAGGAATTCAGTTCAAGAAGCATTAGCTGTGGTGTGTCAAGATGTTTCTGGTTTTCATGGCTGTGTACTTCTGGAAATAAATCCCTGCTGCCTGAATCTGTTCCTAATTAAGGAAAGAAGTCGGAGAATGTAGTGTGCACTTTCTTCCCTGGGAGCCATTTGGTTTTATGGAAACATTTTGCTACTATTTTGGAAACTGTTAAGTAGCTCTTTAGATAGCTTTGCCCTAGACCTTTGTCTGCTAGGATGGTGCTGTCAGCTAACATGTGACTTCCCCTTGAGAGGTGGGGGCCTGGGGCTTTGCAGAACTTCCTCTTCAGGCAGAGCAGGTGCTCACCCCGATGGTGCGGGTTTATCTCCCATGGCCTCCACAGGTCTCTCTGAGGGTCAGTGTCACTGCCCTGTCACCAACCGTACTCCAGCTGTACCGTTGTGTTTCTTCTCAGAGAGGAGATGGTTAAGGGATAGTGCACAGAGAAGTACTTCAGTATCTTCGGGAGTCACGGCTGTGGTCTGAGACACCGTCCGCTTCTCCAGGACACCTGACATGTGCCTAGCCTTGCTCCTGTCCTCTCTGTGCTCTTCCAGCCTAGTGGCTGCAGACAGCAGGGTCTGCTTACACCAAGCCTGCTTCCCCCAACTCCATTGACCGCCTCTGCATAGGAGTAAAATGAGTTACTTGAGATTCCGCAGACGGTGCTCTGCATCCCTAACGATGTGAGGTAATGTCAAGATCCTGTGCACCTGGAACCGTCCACTTCCAACCCACATTGAACTTACTCCAGTGCTGTCGAGGGGAACAAACGCAAGACATTAGCAGCCAGGAGATGCACAACTGGCTGTCCTGGGAGCCCCACCCTCCACGCAAATAAGAGGAACGCAGGTGTGTGGACACCGCGGTGTGCTTCTTGGACTTTTAGGTCATTGGTTGGTCACTGGCAGGTGCCTTCTTCCTCTGGGTTTCACAGACATGAGTCAAACACATCCCGGGTCTCCTACCCTCACCTTCATGGAGAGCTCGCTGCCTTTTCTGTGTCACTCAGTGCTCTTTGTTTCTTTTCACCCTTTCTCCTCTGCAGCCTCAGCTTTTCTCTCTCCTGTATATCCACCTCCGTTCCCAGCCCGCGAGTTTGTTTGGCTCTGTCTCTGTCTGGGGCAGGAGGCAGGCTGGGAAGTGCATTGCCCTTTTTTGTACTGACCTGATGAGTGGTCTCCAACCAAGCCTGGTTCTCCTGCAGGGTTCTGATAACATGAATGTGGCCTGAGTGATTTTTTGCCTCGTGTGGCTCCCGTCCTGCCTCCCCTCTGCCCCTCCCTCGCCCTCTGTTCACACTGCCCTGAGATGTTAGTTGTCCTGCTGTCTGTCCATGCTCTGCCTTCTTACCTCACGGCTCTCACTGCGTAGGGCTCACAGTGAATTCTTGAGACTTGATCCTTCAGTTCCCTGCGGAAGCCACATCAACCGATCCTACACACCATATACTCTCTGTGCTTGGCTCTATCATCTGATATGCCAAGAGAAGCAATGATCGTAAACACGCTATTAAAGTGAGAACTGATTGAGACAGTGGAAGTCATTAGTTCTACAAAGTCCTGCATTTATTAATTTAATAAATAATTGTTGATTGTTCACTTTTAGTTTTTATCTTACCTTATCATGTGCCAGAAAAATCTTAAGTATACTTAAAATAATAATGCATCAGCAAGTGCACATGCAGAAAAGGTAATCTGTAAAATATAGCAGAATATCTCAAATTAAAAAGAATAACCACAAAAGGAAGGAGAAACTAGGATAGAGAAAACACTGGAAGTATTTTCATGGGAATCACACTCACACCATAGCATACCAAGGGAAGTACATTTTACAAGGTCAATGTGAATGATTTAATTTCTAACAAACTCTGCATTGACCTTATAATTCATTATAATACTTGCCATTCTTTAAAAACCCCGTGACGAGTTTTTTACTCAGAAATAACTTCTCTTGTCTGAAATGTTCACTTACGGTGGAATTTAGGATCCAAAGTACTCAGGTCCATCCAGAAAGGGATCTTGAACTCCAGCTACCAGAAGCCCAGCTCCCCAGTTAGGAAAGCCAGGAAGCCACCAGTGTGGAGTCACTGCTGGTCTCAGCAGGTGGACCACAGCAGGCAAGCCTGGTTGTTCCTTCCCTTTTGGTGCTCTGGGCAAAAACACCAAGCCTAAGAACACACATAGCATCTCTGACTTCTCGAAGCCTCACTTTTCACACAGGAAAATAAAGACCCTCAAGAAAACCATGCACTATTCCCGTTCCCACTTCCTTCCCTGAAGTTGGCAGCGACATTGCACACCACTGACTCTGTGGTCAACCTGGAGAGAGGGCTCACGGAGACCTTGCTGGTCATCTCTCTCCCAGGCATGCAGATTTCAAGTCCTGGCTTTGGAATAAGATTGTCTAATGTGGGTGTGGTCACTCCTGAGCCCTGGGATTTTACTAGAATGATAAAACTCTTCAAGTTTCAATTACCCACCATAAAAATGGGACAATTACAGAAGAAGCTAAAGAATGCTTCTTGTACACAGTAAGGTATGACTCATCAGTAGCAGTCTGGCACCATGAAAATGATGAAATAAAACACACACACACACACACACACACACACACACACACACACGCACACACATTCACCTCTATTTCCGTGTAGCTAACTCCCTCCATTAAGATTCTAGAAACCTCCCCAAGTAGTTAAACACTGCTTTCCCCACTGCCCGCCCTTTGGCCAGCCCCTAGTGCTTCCTGCAGAGGTGGGAAGGAGAAGATTGGAAGTAGCTGAGTTCTTGTTAATGGCTGTGATGAAGATCAAGAACTCCAGTGGTCCCCATCACCACAGCTGTGGTCTGGCTGAGACCCTGGAGCAACCCACTGTCCTGGGAGCCATGCTGGCTGGAAGTGGGACATCCACTGAAGACGGTGAGAGAGCTGAGCCTACAGGCTGAGCACAGGTGCAGGGAAGCATTTCCAACTCATCTGTGATTCCTAGAGCTCGGTGGACCTCGGGAGCTTCTGGGGATGATGGCTCCAGTGCAGAGTCTCTCCTGATAGCTCCCTGGAGAAAGCAGATGTGTTGTCTAGAGAAAAGTCCAGCAAAGAAATGAAGAGGGTTGGGAGGTGAAGCCTGGGGCCATCATGTGAGGGCTCGTGCCAGGAGGGGAAGCTGGGGGGAAGGTGATGGGTACAGGGTCTGCACTGAGGGTTGGAGTCACGTGAGAAGGTGTTTGAGTCAGTTGTCACCATTTTCTTTGGTCTTTCAACACTTAATTGGACGGTGAGGTTGTTGTAAAAGACAGCCTGAAAAAAAAAAAAAAGATGACCATGATTTTGACAACTAGAATAGAAAACCACAGTTAGTTATCACTTAAAACAAACGATTAGGCACAGCCTCCACCATGTAGTTTAACCCAAAGGTTCTCTGTTTTAAAGCAATGGTGTGGTCACTCTGCCCACTGAGATCAAGTAGGAGCTCAACCAGTATTGAAAGGCAGTCTGACACCTGGCAAGGTGCCCAGTAGCTAAGGAAAGATGACCCTTATTCTGTTAGTGCTAGGTTGGCAGAACAACAGTCAGTGGAGGTGGCTGAGTCACACTGAATTAAGGAAGCTGGTCAGCAGAGGTCCCGTCCGTGGCTCTGTGAATCTGCAGGGCCCCTACCCCAGATAAATTATTGTGCTTGATAGCATCTACATTTCAAGGTGCCTGTATCGTGTTTAATAAGACAATTATTAGCAAGGACTGTCCAAACTTAGATGAAATTAGCCAACTCAAGAGACACCTTGATAGCCGAGTGCTTTTGAAGCACTTTGGCTGGGAATTGAGATATGTTAAGGAAAAATTAATTGCTGTATCAATGGAAACCCCAGTAGGTAGATACCCAATTTGTCATTAGTTAAACCAAAAGGCTTTTTTAAGGATTCAAGGAAGCATTGTCACGATTGCATGATGGTGTGATTTGCTAGCGTGGTTCGAAGCTGCTAGCTTCAGATGCACGGTTAATAAAAACACAACTCCGGCAGAGTTTCTGAGATGCTCCCACTTCTAGGGCTGCCAGGGTCCTTCTCTCCCTTTACTGGTGACAGTCTGCAGCAGCCATGGCAGATGCAGATTAGACACAACACCACACAAAGTGTGTGCTATGACTCACATTGCTGTGTCCCCGCCCTGCCTGTCCCCTCCACCAGCCTGGATCACACCAGTGGCTGTGTGAATGTCAGTAATGAGGGGTGAGCTGCAGACAGTGTCGACACTGGGCTGCATCCCATTCCATCCGGAATTCTAAATACCTTATCACAGCCACCTGAGGTGGAAACCAGGTCCCCTCTGTTGCTCCAGATGTGAAGATACCATTTCTTTGAGCTGAAAGAATTTTATGTGATCACATTGTAGGCTAAGCCCCAAAGGATAATTCTGTATCCTCATTCATCACAAAACCCAGGCCTTTCAGTCGTGCTTCTTAAAAATAAAATGTCCCCAGTAGAAATCATACAGTTATTTCACACACTAAGAGGTGACAGGACTCACT